ATTAGGTATGCTAATATCTGTGCACTGGAGGATTGTGGGAGAAACATCCAGCCCCTGATGGGGGCCCTTTGGGGCACCCCAAAACACTGAGTAGCTCTCTTGGTCTCATTCTGGACTGGGGCTGTGCAGCCCTGTTCTGATCAGGAGGTGCAGCCGGGGGGGTCACCATGCCTTTGGGGTACAGGGCACAGAAAGGGGCAGGAGGTTCATTCTCCAACTCATACCTGGCAAGGGAGATACCATGATCATCAAAGTGGTTTTCCCAGGGTGAGGCTCATCTATTGCACTTTGGATGTGCTGACCCCTGTGATTTCCCCAAATGTGGGGAAATCAACTGCCTAAGTGGGGGACTGTGTTTGTGGTTTCCCCTGGTCTTTCTAGAATCACTCTTTCTCCTTTGGTCCTTAGCTGTTTTCACTACCTGCTGCCATAGGCCTGTTGGCCTTGCTGGTTTTCCAGGTGGGCTCCAGGAAGCAGATCCTGGAAAGCCAGCAGTGCAGAATGGTGAGGTCCAAACAACAAGCAGTCTCTGGTGCCAGTTCAGAAGCCTCCCAGCATGGCAGTGGGAGGTTTCTGGGTGGTGGTGGTTGATCCCTTTTTTTTTACTGTATTCGCTCCATAAGACGCACATACTTTCTCCCCCACTATTTGGGGGGGAGTGCATCTTATGGAGCGAAAAATATGGTAGGCTTTAGTTGTTGTTTTTAATGCTTCCTTGTACTGTATGTGGCTTTAAGAAGGAGGTGGCCAAAGAGACCCTGCCCTTTTTTTCTCCTTATGCATGTGCTGTGATTAGTACCCCCAAATAGAGATCATTGGATACAATAGCAGGTGGTATGCACACCTTATATGCAGTGTGGAACAGTGACATGCCATAGTATGAGGTATGTGTGTGCACAGAAGAAGAGCTTTAAAAACTGGAGAAATATAGTTCTGTTGAAGAATTCCCTATAAGGCAGGCAGGAATAGACTGCAGTGCCCCAGGCACCTCTGTATCAGCCAGTATTTTTATTTTTGATTTAAAAAGGTCCTTCACACACTGTGGTGGGCACAGGGAGACAGTTTAGGTATTTTACCCCATTACCTGTTCAGGCACTAAAGGGGAGGAGCTTTTTTGAAGACCCTAAAAGTGTCAGTTTCACTACTGGTTTGAACACCAATCTATAGTGTAAAACAGGGCTACCAGGAGCTCGAAAATGTTGCATCTCTTCTATAACATGTTACTTTGCAGGTGGCAAGGACATAACATTATTTTTCCAAGTGGGAGAACAACTGGTAACATTAGTACTTTTCTTCCATGTCACAATTAGCCTTTTAGTACCATGTTTGCTCATTATTCTTTCTCACTGCATTTGAGGAGGTTAAAATGCTTTTGGGAGGGAAGTTGAGGCAATATTTTAAATTTTAGGCTATTTTCTTACTTTTGTTGATAGATCCTAACCTCAAAATTAATGGAAATACTATTAGCAACGTTATGAATTATCAAAACAAACAAACAGTAATGTTAAGGGTAATAAGTTACATTGAGTGTAGTGATTATGAGTTCCACAATGAATTACTTTTAAATAGTAACTTCCCAAAATCTGCTATATTATCAAATTATGTAACAGAACGGAAAAAAAACCCTCTTCTTTAATTATATTTTGTTTTTTTCTCAGATGAAATAGTATCTTCAGAAGACTTTGGGGCAAGTATCTTCAGTGGGCAAAAGAAAGCACTATATTATGCAGATGCTTTGACAGAAATAGCTTTTGTTGTTCCCTCGCCCGTGGAGTCCTTAAGTAAGTGTGCTGTCTGTGTGTCTCTGCAGAAAACATAATAATCATCCACTTTTGCTTTGCAGTATGTTTGAGGGGACGAGAATACCCCCCTTTCTGCCACATAGGCGTGTTTATAAGCAACTAAAAGTGGCTTCAGCTTTCTGAAGCATATTTCTGTAATCTATAATTTGCAAAAAAAGGGGACATCCATCTCGCATGTTAAATGGCCTCCTGCTAAGTTCTTCATATAAATGCACTTCTGCTGTAAAGTATGATATAGTCCTTAAGGAAATATTCAAAGTTCCTAAGGAGGTGCACAACTCAAATATAAACTCTTGTTCACTTTGCTCAAAATTTTGAGACCTTTAGGTTGTGTGCTTATTATTATTTGGAGATAAGTTGCAGTGCAGCGACAATGCACATGTTTTGCACACAGAAAATCAATGTTTCAGTACCTGGCACTTACAGTTAAAGGTGCAAATTGCAAAAAAAGACATCTTTAGAAGACGATAGATAGCTGGTGCAGAATTCACATTACTGGGATGGACAGTATAATAACTCACTATTCTACTATAAAACATCTTCTGTTCCTATGTTTCATTGCAGTTGCATAAATACAGTGAGACTAGGTATGGTTAGTACATATATTTGATGCAGACCTGAAGAAACAGTTTTCTGAATGTAGTTTATTAATGCTGAGTAGCTCCTGAAGGGAGGAATACACTGGCTACAGATTGAAGACTTCTCAGCAACACTGTTCATAAGTGCATTGACTTAATTGTGGCAAAGTGTTACTGCTGAATAAGCTCATTAACTGTAAGAACATATGAAACTGCTCTATACTGATTCAGAGCTTTGGTCTATTTAAATCAGTATTGTTGACACGTTGACATCAGCAACTCTATGCGAGGAGTTTTTATAGCCCTTCCCAAAGATTTTCAGGAAGGTTTTAGATGTCTAGTGGTCAAACCTGGAAGCTTCTGCATTCAAGACATGTACTGCATATCATGCACTTCTTGCTTGTAAGATGCTTTCCCCTTTTATCTTTCAGCAGATTCATTGGAAAGCAATGTCTCGGACCAGGAAAGTGACACCAGTATGGATCTCCTACCTGGAATATTAAAGCAGCCAGCACTAACACTGGAACTCTTCCCCAATCATACAGACAATCTCAGTTCTTCTCAGAGGGCAAGTTAATTCTGTATTGATCAGTGTACTTTGTAAGGAAGTAATGATACTTTTTCCCCATTTATTTCATTTACAAACTTTGTATGCTACTCTACAACATAAAATGGCCACGGACTGTGACAGGATAAACAGCTTTTGTAATTAAATAATACAGACATTTGAATGACTAATTACAAGTAATATTTCATCCAGAAACCAAAATCTTTCTGTGGAAGCAAGTTTTCTATTATTCTGTAACAACAAGGTCTTCTCCTTGGAGTTTTTAGCACAATCAATGGCATGTATTTCATCTAGGAATGTTTCTTGAAACTTTTTGTAGTAGGATTACTTATTGAGTGGTTAAAAAGTATACTGTTTTATGCCTGGTGAACCTCTGCCAAAGAAATGTACTATTTTACATGAGAGGTAACGACAGAGAATTTTAGAATCATAAGAAGTGTTCCATCTTGGGTCTGTTACAAGATGATCTTTATTGACTGGGAGAGGGAAGAAATGTCTTTCTAAATTATTGGCAATTGGCTTTGTATGCTGCAAGTTATTACTTCCTCTGTGATCTTTGGAACAGAGTGTATTGTATATATATATTTATTTTACTTTATATATGTCTTTTGGTTTATATCTTTGCAACAGGTCAGTCCAACTTCCAGATCAAAGAAGTTACCACAGGGTCGAGCTATTCCTCCACTTGGACCTGAAACCAAGGTCTATGTGGTTTGGGTAGAACGTTATGATGATATAGGTTTGTGCAACTTTGTTTTTTATTGCAGATTGGATAGGAGGAAGTGGCTTTGACTTGAATTCTAGTTATCTTTAGATTTAAATACCTGCCACTTAATTTGCCTTGATCTCTAATTTTATGTGTTCTATCATAACTATTTTTTGGTATCTTAAAGAATATATGACCATTTAGCCTAATATTTATTTCCTTGTCTTACAGAGAACTTCCCTCTCTCTGACTTGGTTTCAGAAACCAGCACTGGGGTAGAAACTACAACAAACAGCAGCACTTCATTGAGGTATGATTGAATGTCTCTATGGTTCCACTTCTGCTACTTGCAGATATGTTCTAATGGCAGGTTAATACATTGATGTCTTGTGTTCCCCCCCCTCACTCTTTGAGATAATCTGCTCTTTATTATATGAGCTACATACATGCTCATGGATTTTAGCCCCACAATCATGGGGGTATACTGACTCTTTAAAGATAGTAGAAGTGGCTGTGGCAATGTTTCATGAGCAGAAAGGGTGTGTTGTTGTTTAGTCGTTTAGTCGTGTCTGACTCTTTGTGACCCCATGGACCAGAACACGCCAGGCCCTCCTGTCTTCCACTGCCTCCTGGAGCTGGGTCAAATTCATGTTGGTAGCTTCGATTACACTGTCCAACCATCTCATCCTCTGTTGTCCCCTTCTCCTCTTGCCGTCACACTTTCCTAACATCAGGGTGTGTAGAGCATGGCATTTCCTGTACTTTCAAGTATTATAAGCATGCTTTCGCTCCAGTGGGTGCCAGGAAAGATTGGCCTCAATGCTTATGTATCAGTGCCCCAAGATACACAAACTGAGGCCAACTTGCATTTTTTCAGGATTTGCTTTTCTTTAGAAATTCAGTAGGTGGTGGCTCGATGCTACATAGAGAGCTTCCACATAGTGAGCTGTCATTTCTTGGGTCTGCAACTCACCTCTGGTCCATTCCAATTTTTCACAGATTTTTTTAATGTCCTGAACTTCTGGCCTATAGACCTATATAGCTTTCAATATTGTAGTGAAGTCTCGAGGATTTTGTGTTCCTATTGATGCTTGAAAATTACTTTCAAGATGTTCTGATGTATCTTTTGTATACTTTGTTTGCCTTGAAGGTCTACTACTCCTGAAAAAGAAGTTCCAGTGATTTTCATCCATCCCTTAAACACTGGGTTATTTAGGGTAAAAGTGCAAGGAGCTACTGGGAAATTCAACATGGTCATTCCACTGGTGGATGGGATGATAGTTAGCAGGAGAATTCTAGGTAGGTCTTTAGAATCAGCAACTGATTATTCAAGCACTGGCTTTTGTTTGTTAATGTGATGTTAGGTACCATTCCCACATTTGCATTGGACTGGTTCTAATATCTTTCTTGGAATGGGGAGAGTCCTCTTCTTTCCCCCTGTGCAAAATCCTTTTCCATGGACAATTTTCTAGCAAAGGAGGCCCTGAGTGGGCATTGTCTCCGCAGCTGTGCAAGAGGAACCATGGTTAAGGCATAGGTACAGGAAAGAATTACAAGTACAGTGGTGCTTCGCTTAACGAGTGCCCCAGTTAACAATGAAATCGCATAGCGATTTCATTTTTGTGATCGCAAAAGCGATCGCATTGCGATGATTTAGATGGCAAAATATCGCTTTGCGATGATCGGTAAGCTGTTTCGCTTACCGATTTTCGCATAGCGATATTTTCCCAACAGCTGATCGGTGGTTCCAAAATGTCCGCCAGGTAAAAAACATGGCCGCCCGCTGTGTTTTGGGACGGATTCCTCGCATACAGGGTAGCGAAGATGGCCACCGTATGGAGGATTTTCGCTTAAAGGGAAGTTTTTTGCCTATAGGAATGCATTGAAGGGGTTTCATTGCATTCCTATGGGCTTTTTTAAATCGCTTAGCGATGTTTTCGGTTAGCGGCGATTTTTGCTGCACCGATTAACATCGCTAAGTGAGGCAGCACTGTATATTGATAATGTGCTTATATACCATCTCTCATCTTTGTTCTTCTACCTCTTGGAATGTATTTCCCAAAGAGCAGGAAAAAGATGGAGGAGATGTGGAATAGTATTGACATTTTTCAAACTATCTTTTATGGCTGCATATGTCCTCTAATGAAGCCTCTTAAAATATATGAGAAGATTTAAAGTTACTCTGTTGTGTGCAACTGTGAAACGAATCCCAGATTGAACAAGTGCCACTCACTTGAGCACTTTTGTTTGACCCTAAGAATCATTTAAAACAACCTTCCTGGAAAGAAGAAACATTAACTTTGTTCTTTTTTTTTTCTGTTTAAGGCTTCTTGGTGAGACAGACAGTAATAAACATTTGTCGAAGAAAAAGGCTGGAAAGTGACTCATACAATCCCCCTCATGTCCGTCGAAAACAAAAAATAGCTGACATTGTCAATAGATACAGGAACAAGCAACTGGAGCCAGAGTTTTATACCTCTCTTTTCCAAGAGGTTGGGCTCAGCAGCTGCAACCCTTAGACCAATATCCTCCGTGAACAATTAGATCAGAACTTGGTGTCTACAGTAATGAAAAACCTTCCTCATCATGGAACCCCTCTATAAAGTTACCATAATCTGAGCATGACTTCTACTTCCACCACAAAGAAACAATGAAGACTCACTATAAGCTCCCACCTTGCAACCATTTGAATATAACCTCACACCATCAGCTGTTGGAGAGGGACAAATGTTCACTATCAGTTATTAATTAGTAATAGATGATAAACTAGGTCTGTAGCAGAGAGGGGGTAACTACAAGTCCCATATTTTTCCATGTTCACATAAAATGCTAGATTCTGACCACAGAACTAGCACCCAAAGTTTTGTACTTGGTTTTGTCACAGGCTAGCTCAGGGGCAAACTCCTCCACAGGATTGAGACTTATTTATGTGGCTATTTGTCTGGCTTGCTTTCCCACTTACAAGGAGGTCAGGTTTTATTTAGTTCTAATCCAGCCTTTTGCATTTGGCTGTTGCCCGTATTATGCATGTACATGTAGGTCTGTTGCTCAAAATCTGTTTAGTTTTGTAGGTGCTAGTCACCCTCTGCCTGCTTCTGGCTTTTCCAGGGTAAAAGTCTTAAGGAGATATTACAAAAAAGGTAGTTTCTTTGGGTTAACAATGATCCATCTTCTGTCAGTCGTCAACCTTGGGGTGGAGATGCATGCTTGTATAATGACATTTCAACAAACCAACCTTTGTAAAGGAAAGGAGCAAAACTGTTGTTGAAGTAGATGCAGTGCGAATATTTCCGTCTCTTCATGTATGGATGACGAGCTGGCTACAAAATTGCCAGTGGTGAAATCTGAATGAAACATTTCTGTCTGTGAAAATCGTTTTTAAAAAAGGATCAGAGCCTTCCTTTCAAGCCCCACGTTATACTCATTTATTGCAATGAAAGAGGATTTTTTTTGTAATGTCCAAAATGAATAATACAACACTTAGCAGACTGTTGCTAATCAATGTCATTGGTAGTAAAGGACCATGCAAGTTAAATGTCAGGTTATAAAATTTATATTTTAAGTTATCTACAATTTGTGCCCTGTCATATGTCACAGCTTCTTTTCTAAAACAGTGACAACATAAACATCCCTCTTCATAAATGTCTAATAAGACAAAATATATGATGTGACATGGATTCAAGTTTCTTAACTCTCCATTTTATTGGTTACTATAATTTTTTCATACAGGAAGTTACTGGAGGAGAGAGGCAAAGTAGATGGAGGTGGCTTTTTAAAAAAATTAGCGACAGTCACGTGTTTCTTACATTGGCTCATTCTGTCCCTAGAGAGAAAAATCTGCACATTCTTTAAAGAAGAAATGATTAGAAGACTGCTGTTTTCTTGCTGTTGGCATAGAATATCATTATTTTAATAGACTTCCCCCAAAGCTTCTAAAATCAACTTACATTTTTAATATATGGAGATCATGTCTTCCAAATGAGAACAGAGAGAACCATTGTTCAGGGAAAAATGTAATGGTAGGTATTCAAAAGGGCACTTCCTTCCTTCCTTCCTTCCTTCCTTCCTTCCTTCCTTCCTTCCTTCTTAAATAATAAAGAGGTAAAGCTAACTTAAACCTGCTACTACAACAAAGATGAGAAGATTTGCAGAATAGTTAATTTATAATACAGTATATGCCTTTGCAGAAATAATAAATATGCAGGTGAGCGACAATTAATTATACAGTAATTTTTCTTTTAATTTGTTAATCTCTGCTAATGGCACACAGACAGCTTGTCTTTCCTTGATAAACAAATGGCTAATTGTCCAGTGCAGCAAATGAATTTCTTCCCAGTGTTAGTGAACACAGGTTGTTGGGGATGTTCCAGATCTAAATTAATTCATGCCCAAGCATTCATAGAATGTGAAGTTGATTCTGTTGCTTCTGCTAATAGTGTTTAATGTTTTTTGCAGACTAGTTGGCCACCACTTGTCTGTGCCTTTCCCTTTTTTATATTCATTGTTTCCAGTGTGCATGGCATGGAGCTTTAAAAGCCTTTTATTAATGTGTTTAAAATGAAACTCCAGGCAAATGGACCAGATTCCTATTGTTAGTCCCCAACTAGAGTGGAATGGAATTTCTATTAGTATTGACTCACTATTCTGGCAATTGGTTCAGTGGGTTTTCTCTGGTTGGGACTTACAATATAAATTTAGGTCCTGAAGGTTTTTGTTTAGTTGGACTCTAAATGTTTATAAGCAAAGAAACAATTAAGGTAGGAAGCAGACTAATATTCATCACCAAAAAATGCAAAAGTAAGTTATTTTTTGAACTGTTAGGATTCTAAGGAAGTGCTCTATGGAAGCTTGCAGGAGTAGTATTTATAGGCCAGAATCTTCTTCCTTAGCATAAACCAAATTGTAGCATTTAGTCTGTTCCTCCGTAGTAAGCAAAACATCCCTGCCATGATTCTTAGGGGTGCACACACATGCTGGCATGGAGAGTGTGCACATATACATGTGTCCTGAGAATTGGAGCACAGACACTTAGTTTACCAGAAAGGAACATACTATAAATTACAATTTGGCTTAAGCTGAGCAATAGCATTTTTGCCCAGTGTGGAATAATTAGTGAAAAAAATGCTTAGCAAACCGAACATGATTTTAATAACTTTGCACAAATTTCCAGTATCTGTGTTAAACAATTTTTTTGCAGCCATACCGGCTTATAACTGGTGCAGTAAACAAAGTATTTTACTGGACAATTTCTTCTAAAAGGGATACTTTTGGTTCATAAAAGCTACCACTGTGGCCTTTTTGAAGATAAGAGTGACCTTTATGCATCTTTAAAGGGCTTCAGGTCTATAAGAGAAGATCAACCAATGGATTGTGCTCCTTCTCCTGAACTAGCATGTCAGTGACTGTCAAATGTGAGATGTAGGCCCTAATGACACTGTTGGTAAAGTATGAGGAGATCATAAAACTGCTTTGAAAAAAAATGCCATGTTTGATGGTTCTGTGTATTAAAGTACAGGTTTGGAATATCAATTGCTGCCAGTGAGGTCCAGGGTGCACCAAGACTTTAACAGAGGTTTATCCTTGATAGTGAGAATTTGCAATATTAATTTCGTTCATGTGCACAAAAATTAACTGTGCACTCTGTTAGGTACTGTTCAGAGCTATAAGATGACCTGTCACATGTAGTTCATGGATTCAGTGGCATGACCACTGCATGTCTACGACAAAAACTACCATAAACATCTCTGAGCAGTTGGGTGTCTACATATTTTAAAAATTAACAACTTAGATGCAATTGTTTGAACTGTGTATGTAGTCTGGGCAAAGCCATTAGTACATACAATGTCTGATAGCCTGCCAAACCACCTTTGTGAATTACACAAGTGAGAAAAAAAATCTTAAACATACAATGGTTTTGGAACTAGACTATAGCCATGTCCAGGTTTGGTATTCAAGACTTCAAACAAATTGCTGTTATATCCTTCCCAGTTTAAAGTTCTGTTCCTCAGTGCTAGAAATTTCAATATGTGAAATGCTGCCATTAAACCAAAATGATTGATTGTGAATGTTTCTTTTCCTCCAAGAGTTCCTTTCTATTATGCTGGTCTGTTATTTATCCCCAGAACTTAACTGGACTTTATAATTAGCTTGAAGTAGCCTTAACAGCCTTCATTTCAAAAAGCTCTCAAACAGGCATGCTATCCTGAATCTGCTTGCATGTGAGTAAGTCTTCTACTTAAGAGATATACTTACTAGCATACAAGTGGACTCTGTGTCGAAATCTAAGTTTACATGTATGACTACTTTTGGATTTGTTAATAAATGTGCCAAGGAGGGAAATACAACAGTGGTCTCTCCATACAGCACTGACCAATTAATGGAAAACTATAAGGGCTCATTTACTTTTTCTGTGTTCTCCCAGGTATTGTATATGATGTGATCTTTCTGTATAGATGCTGGTTGTCTAATTTCTATGTGTGTAAAAGAGAAGGCTTCCAAAACACTGAAAACTTCCTGTCGTGTGCAACGCTGTTGACTGATTGCAATAAAACATTCTGCCTAGCCCTGTCTAAGCATGGTTGCATTAAAAATTCATTCTGATTAGGTTTATTGAGACTGTAGGCTCCAGAATAAATAAAGCATCCTTCTCCAATCTGGCACCCTCCAAAAGTCCCTATTATCCCAAATTAGAATAGGAAGTGGCTGTGCTAGCTGGGGAACAATAGAAGTTGTAGACAGAACCTGGTAGGGGAAACCTGACGTAAACCATCAGGATAAATTTCATATTTCTTACCTTTCCTTTGAATAATATGCCACAGGATAATTAAAAGAATAAAAATTGATAGGATTTATTTGTTTCCTGCTATTTATGTTGGTTGTTTCCTATTAACATTTCATTCAGTTATTTTAATTATTACATCCCGTTTATTTTAACTGCAGTCTCTTGGAAGACGTACAATATAAAGGCTACAAACATCCACCTAGTCTGTATCATAAAAATGTTATGATCACAATTCTCTTAAAAAAGTGTTATAGTAAGATAAGTTGAGGAAGTAAAATTCTGCAGTCTTCATAGCACTATGATATGAAAATGGTCAATACCTTTTAAAAAGAAAATTACTGTTTAAGAAATATAAAGCACCTTTCTTTAGCAAGGCCTTCAAGTGCATTTAAAGTGCAGAGTAAAATAAAATGGGGATGGAGCAGAAGGAAATCATGTCAGGAGGAGCTGCTATTTTGTACACAAAACCTTTGTAAAGCAAGTGTAGCAAACAAAGCTTGCTTTCAGTCATGCCCTGTTTGCTTCAGTGGACCATGAGCTGATAGGAGCACCTTAAAGAGTGGATTGCCCCTTATCTAGTTACTTCCATCAGGAAGGTGTACAACTGTTGTGTAGTGTTCAGAACACTTAGCTCAGGAGAACTGTAGGATTACAAATCACTATGAATAGTGAACAAAAAATTAACTGACGGTGATGGTTACATAGTTCTAAGAAAGTCTCTTTGAAGGACAGCTGGATTCTTTCAGGATTGCTCAGAAGGTAATGGCTAGATACCATGTGCTTAAAATCATGTACAATAGTGTATAAAGTTCTGTATGTTGCCAAGACATGATCTTTTTGTTCTTACTGTATTTTCTGTAAATATTCCTAGCACTAAGTTGTAAAGGCAGACTGTAAATACAAAGATGTGAAGCTATGTTCCTCTGTCTCTAGTATTTTATCTCTTGTTTAGGGAAGGCAAAAAGGCTTGTTTGTATTTATGCCAACTCTTTGTCCAGAAGAAACACATCAGATATTGAATGTAACACAATTAGTCAAATAAATTTTAAAGATATTCTTATGTATTCACCTAGTGGTTTTCAATTTGTGAGTAGTTTTTCCTGTGACCAAGTGTTATTCATAAAAGTTGTACATATGTGAATGGGCAGTCACATAGGTAATTCCAAGAGGCTGATAACACTGGCTTTCAAAGGGAGGTCATTCCACAACCAAAGGGGTACAGCTGAGAAAGACTTGTCCTGCACCTCCAACATAAGGTACGCCTGCCAGTGAAGGGACACAGAGAAGGCCTTCAACGGATTTTAGTAGTTGGTAGATATATAGGGGAATAGCATTTCAAGGGCAGCCCTGTATAGAGTACAGTGCAGTTATTTCCATCATTTTTAAAAAAATTATACATACACACAAACACACACCCTTATAATTTTTCTAAATTTTATACACACCCCTATACTATCTATCTATCTATCTATCTATCTATCTATCTCTCTATGTTTGTGTGTGTGTGTGTGTGATTGTGTGTGTGTGTGTGTGTGTGTGTATACCTGATACCTGGGTGTCTGTGGGTGTAAATACCTGATACCTCTGTGTGGTATC